AGGAACATTAAGCTGATCTTTGAATCTCAGGCATGAGCATCTTGGGGATTGAGGGGAAATATAGGCAGGACAGGCATACCCATTTTGAAAGGGATATTGTGGAATTAAAAAGATGGAGAAGGTCATCAAAATAATCAGAAGAGAGACCTAATGGATTCGTGTCCCTTATAGTGAAGTGATGTACAACTTTATGAAAATTAAAACAATGAGTGATATGGGCAAATAGGGAAAGTATCTACTGTTTGTCATAATTTCTCTGGATATCTGCAATTCTTTTATTGAGCAGCAGGTGAAAACAAAAGGACATAACGTCTCAGAATGTGTATGCGAATTTTGGAGTGGTGTATTGCCATAAATCCTATAAATGGGTTTGAAAGGCTGCACAAATTTATAGAGGAAGAAAAATGTCTGTTGGGGCATTTCAGTGTGATGGCTACAATGGTAAGTCTGAGGGTATTGCTTGTTTGAAGATGCAAGGGCTTGCTAGGACAAGGATAGCCTGTTTGTTCTGTTACACGTAATGTTTCTCAGACATTAGTCCTTGACAGTCAGACTGGGTGTTGGTCTATAAGGACACTTAATCCAGTAGGACAGTTCTTCTGGGTTTGTGAACTTGAAGGGACACAGTAGGTTGGAGGGACTGAGTTCCGAGTTTGACTTGGTTTAAAATAATTGGGTGATACTCTGTAGTCTAGCTGTCTTTTACTACTCTTGAGTTAAACTGCCACATGTCTGTTTATGTGAGACCTCTGGTTTTGTTCTGTCAGCCACTGACAGCAGCTGTATGTCACAATGTGGCTGACTCTGCTGGTGGGTGTAAGCTGAGCCCACCTATGCTGCTGTACAATTAAATCACAGTACCTGTTACAAAATACGACTCTCCTGACTCTGTTGCAACACTTCAGCATGTGCTAAAGGCTAAGCCTGGCTTGTAAAAAGACAATTTCTGGTAAATTCTTCTTGTCCAGCTACACATGTCTTTGTATTCTTCCATACTTTTGGGGTTTAGTTGAGGGCAGTGCCTACTGTTCCCAGCACTGTACTTGAGGAAACGCAAGACCTACAAAGTCCAGTTTGTAGAAATCTTGCTCTAATTTTAATAGGAGGAAAATATAATGGTGATTATAAGGATATTACTTTATTACTTAATAAATTAAGCCTGGCTTAAATGCAGGAACTTTGTACTCTTTTTGATTAAAGTAATGTACTTGCAGTAGATGAGTAGTTATCAAAGTAACCCTTACTGGTAGAGGATGTCTTCTGTGTTTTCTGTAACCATCTGGAACTCTGATTTTGGGGTCACACTTCTCATTTCTGAACGTGGACCTGACTTGCGGTGACACTCAGCTTATTGTTAGGAAAAACTCCACTTTCAGCTACCTGCTTCCTACTTTGCATCATGTTCGTTTCTCCAACTTTTCCCTTTGATATTGAGGAAATGCTCTGAAACTGAACAACCTTGTTGGTTTGGGTTTTAGAAAACACATTTTTTTTGTGTCTGTTTTGTTTAGAGAAATCTGTGGCGAAAAGCGGTTGCATGACACCTGTTGGTTTTTACAGTGGTAGCAAGCCCTGTGCCTTCACTGCGTTAGATGTGGAGGCGCTTTTGTGCTATAATAAACCTGCCAGCTCAGCCATGTTGCTACAGAGGTGTTTGGAGGCCCACCTCTGCGTTATGTATTGTATGTACGGGTAACGAACGACCCCTACCCAAAAGTGACTTTGAGATGCCAGTTCTCTTTGTGACAGTAAACGGGTGAATAAAACAGGGGGGCACAGGTGAGGAGGGAGATTAATATAAGACATGATCGTGTTAGGTTTATCACCAACTACCTACAAGGTGTAGAATCAGGTCGTCTTATTCACATTTCCTTTAAACTCCAACTGAATTGGGCAGAAGGGGTGTTCATCAGCAGGTTCTTCTGGGGGTCATGAAGATATGTCCAGGCTCTTTATTGATATGCCTCTTAATAGCAGAGCTCAATGCGGAGACGAGTGGTTTTAGCCATTGTAATTCCCTAGCGCTGGTGTACTTGTTTTAAATTGTGTAATATGTGACTTGCGTAATAACTGTTACCATAGACAATTTCCTGATACGGTCAGGAAAAGGTAACGCCAGCTCCAGGTATGCCTAGTGGAGATGGAAGTGTTAAAATCCCTGTATAGATAACGGGGAGATCTCGCTCAGAATGATGTCTGCAGTTATTCTCACTGTGTGGAAAAGAAATTGAAAAACTTGTAGGGAAGATGTTTGGGGAAATAGACAGTCTGTTTATAAGGAAGCATTTTAGAAGTTGGCTTATTTAGCTAGTAGAACAAAGCGGAGAGAAGATGTGGTTGCTTTCTGTAAATACCCCAGCATAAACACCACTGGGAGAAGAAACTAATAAGCTAATGGACAATGCTGGCACATGAACACTGCCATCAGCTGACCGCTAATTTCTTCTGAAAATTAGAAGGCAATTTCTAACCATTAGGAGTGAGTTTCTGGAAGAAAAGCCCAATAAAAGCGTGCGTGCAGGAACAATTAGCTTTAACGTGGAACTGGATAACGTCATTTCTCTCCCAGAAACTGTTTGCCTGGGATAGTTAGAATGGGACTCAGCCATCCAGCATCATTCCTACTGTATTTCTATGCTAAGAATATAATACATGGGAACACTGTGTAGTATAAAATACCAAAATGAGGTGGTTTGATAAGGAAAGCAAAATTAAAATTAATGATACAATCTGAGTGGCTGTTAAAGCTGTTTCAGTTCATAATTGTATTCAAAGAGTGATACTTGCTCAGACTGGCAGAATTGCAGAAAGCATGAGGAGTCTTAGGCACCTGCTGACATTGCAAGCTGTTCTTGTGTCCGTGCTCAAGAGGAGCTGCAATGGCCCAATTAAGTAGAGGAAATAGCTGACTTCAAGGAGGAAAGTCTAATATTTTTTCCCCTTTTAATTGGGACATATTAATCTGGCGCTGGAAACCATTCTGAACGTAAGCAGCATGGGATTCAGACAAGGTAAGGAAAAAAAAACTTCGCAGAGGAATTAAAATGATCAGTTTATTGTTAAATGACTTAAAGCTGTGCTTTGAAATATGCACGGAACAACAAAAATATGTTTGAGGGGAATACTTAACAGGTATATGATGCAACCTGTTAGGGAAAAAAAAGTTATGTATGTAGGTTGCTTTCCTTGTTGAGAGAAGTTTTCAGCTGCTGCCAAAGCTAATGCTGGGTAATAGCAGGACTGAGGTGCAAAGGGAGTTGACAACTTCTGCCTCCCAAGAACTTGTTGTTTGTAACACATCCCAGTGAATACAAATATGATGTCATCTAAAACTGTGGCCTAAACTTGCCAAAATAGCATTGAAGAGCTTATTTGCCAAAGAAAGAGGAAAGCTATGGCAGTTTGCCGGGTGGTGATGATGCAATTAGGTGCCCTGTCCCCTGCACTAAGTTTATTATGGTTTAGCATCTTCTGTGCCAGCAAAGCTGTTCAGCTGTGTCAGGGCAGCCGACACCGAACAGTGCTGACCTGTCACCTAGGAAAGCAGAATCCTATTTGCATTCAGCATACGTGCTTGCCACCTACCTGCACTTGTGATCTTCATAAACAGAAGTGGTTAACAGAGCCACTCTGCTTTATGCAACTTCTGTATCTTGGCCGGCTGCGTGCTGAGTCAGCTGGCAGAGGAAGCTGGAAAGCTGTTTATTTTGATGAAGTATTCTCTACAAGGCCATGTTTGAAGCTAGCATTTGCTGCAATTTTCATTTTATGGAGGGTGTTTAAAAGGTGCTGCTCTGCCTTTACAGTCAGAGAAAATCCCATTTGTCAGAATTGTTTTGCATTATTTAAATAGAAGACGGTGTTCAGAGGGCTGCTGTGTGGCGCAGCAGCGGATGGGAGTATTTGCGCTGCTGGGCTAAGATTCACTGGGGGGTTTCTTATGTGACTGAAGTGTGTTTGGTGGACTCATTCCTCTGTTGTACCACACAGAATCTTTAATACTGTGTTGCAGTGTCTTAACTGTTAAATGATGTACGTTACTGAGCAAGTATTTCTGTTTTTTCAAAACAAGCATAGCCACGACGTTTTTTTTTGTTAGTTGAACGTGCACTCTTTTGCTTTGACTGGCCTTGATTCACTGCTGAACTTTAAGGTTATTAGCCATTCTGCTCGAGGATCTTACTCGTCCTCTTTTTGCTCCATTTCCTTCTGTTACCAGTTCAGTACCTTATCTTCGTTAAGGGCATAAGATCATCCCGAGAGGCTCCTGTTGATGTGACTCAGGGGTGTGAATGTGTTTCATCCAGCAGCCTGCATCTTGGTAGTGAGTTTTAAGTTATGCTTAAACTTGCATCTTTCAACTCAGCATTACAGGATATTGCAGCGAATCCTCGTGATGCTTTTCTTCCTGTAGGAACTGGACTTTAAACCTCCTGTCAATCTCGTCAAGCATAGCTGACTCCTTCCAATTAGTTTGCTTGGCACTGATGGCTGTGATGAGTCAAGCTGAGCCGGAGAAGGGGGAGTGGATGGTGGCTCTAACTCTGAGGCCCAGCAATACCCCCACAGCATTTTAGAGCAGTTTCAGGCTCTGGCCTGAAGTGGCCAGGAGTCACAGCAGCAGTGAGGGACTGCGGAAGGGCAGAGTGCTGTGGCTCAGCTAACATTTTTAAACTGTCTATCAGGGTGATGGCGGTCTTGTGTGGTTTTTTGAGTTTGGTTCTTTTTTCCATTCACTAATTTTTCTGCCCCAGTGGGGAACCTCTCTTCTGCAAAGGTATGAAGAGTGTAAAATGCAGGCGGAGTCTGCTGCCTGCCCTGCGTTTCAGACTTCTTCAGCAAAACAGATTTCAGTTGCATGATGTGGGGTTTTTGTTTTGTTTTTTAGTTCTAGTGTTGTTACAAGGATGTGAAATCCAAGCTGTCCCTGACTTTTGCAGTGACAGCCATGTATATTCTTCCTGGAGGAGGAACGTTCTTCCGTGTTGGGCAAAGGAGACTGAAATGTAACAAGTAAAAGTTGAGTCTAACGTCTGTTCAAAGTGCTGGTGAATGTGGCAGCTCTGATCCTTTAGAAATATTAACACTCGGACAGTAGACCCATGACAAGAGTGGTGGTTTTGCCATTCTTTTCCTTCATGCTTCATTCCAGAAAATAAATGTTTATTGCAGGTGATTGTCAATGTATTATCTACATCTGGAGTCTGATGCTCATGTAATTTTTGTCTTGTAGTTGTACTTATCGGAGACTCCGGAGTAGGCAAAAGTAACCTTCTGTCTCGATTCACTCGCAATGAGTTTAACTTGGAAAGCAAAAGCACCATTGGAGTAGAGTTTGCAACAAGAAGCATTCAAGTTGATGGGAAGACAATAAAGGCTCAGATATGGGACACAGCAGGGCAGGAGCGATACCGAGCTATAACATCAGCGTAAGTGATAGCTTGTATGGCCGAAGAAAAACTTTTGCTGAAGAGGGTAATTTTGCGCCCTTCCGATTCCTCAGAAACCACAAATGGGGTGTCTTATTGTGTAATATCCACAACCTATGGGGGAAAGAAGCTTAAATATTATTCAGTCCAGACACTTGATATAGGATGTTCCTGCACAAACTGATTTACTTCTCAGTGCTCTCGTGATACATAACTGGAGGCATTTCAAGCCTAGAATGCAAGAGCTTTGAGAGACTCATTTCAATGCAAGTGATTGATAAAGTAATACCAGTGTTCATGGAGGTTTTATCAGTGGTAACCTAAGACCAGAAACCCTCCTGTAGCAGTGAGGAAAGACTGCTCACTTTGCTTGCTTATTTAATTGGAAAAAAATAGCATAGCAAAAGCTGGATTTGAGTAAAGCTGGAGGTAGTTGTGGGGCGGGAGAACACAGCCTGTTTCCTTTTGAATGCATTACTGTGCCTCTCTTTGGTCTGAAGGGAGACCAGCTGTGGCCTTTTGTAAAGGGAATAGATCAGGCTGACATTTTTATGATCCAGTGAGTGATTCTGAAGTCTCTCTATCACTATGGGCTGTGCCTGTACTGCACCCGCAGTGGTGGGTGAGGGAGACTTTTTAGGAGTGGATCAGAGGTTGAAGGTGACAGTAGCTCCCCACAAATTCCAGAGCTTCATTTTTGGGATGCAGGGTTCTCCCCATGAGCATGGGGTTTGGCTTACGCCCTAGACTCTGAGCTGCCCTGGCTGCTCTGGTGGTCCTGTGGCATAACCCTGGTCTGCATGCTCTACTTCACTGCTTTGAGTCCCACGTAGCCTGCTTCTGGATTTTTTTGTATAGCTGTCTTAGTAATAGCTATTTCCCGTTATTGCACATAACTTGTCACTTTTAATCATGATGGTTTTTGCTGGTTCTCTTAACACATCTCTTCACCCACAGGTACTATCGTGGAGCTGTAGGGGCATTGTTGGTGTATGACATTGCTAAGCACCTTACTTACGAGAATGTAGAGCGATGGTTGAAAGAGCTGAGAGACCATGCTGACAGCAATATTGTAATCATGCTTGTGGGAAACAAGAGTGACTTGCGCCACCTGAGAGCAGTCCCTACAGATGAGGCCAGAGCTTTTGCAGGTTGGTGAACTCAAAATAATTTCCAAATGCTGTCTGGGGATCTGCCTACCTGGTCTTAGATGTGTGAATGTGCTGGTAGGAGGAAAAAGAGTGCTGCTGGTGATGTTCCTCAGTGTCACATACTGCTGTTTGCCTCTTTTTAATTCAGTCAAAAAGGAATCCTTGTAGAACATGCATGCTGATGTGGTTTCAAGAATCAGCCAGAGGCACTTGAAGATTTTAAACCAGACTTATTCTCTTGCCTGTGCGTTGCTTTTCTCACAGAAACTGTGCCTATGGCTCTAGGTTTGTGTTTCTTGTATGGTGGTAGCTTTGCACCTGTATATTGCCTTCTTTGTACCAACTGATCTGGAGCCCTATGCAGATGCCTGTGGCTGAACAGACTTTCATTAAACCGGCTTTCTGACTCTTGTTACATAATTAAGATCTGTGAAAAATAATTCTAGTTTCTGTAAATCTTGCCTTGTTTTAGGCCAAATTTCTTTCATCCAGGAGTGTACCTGGGTTTCTTACATTAAGGCTTGCTGTAGCTGCATTTGAGGAGTTTATGGCCAGTGGGGATCCCTGCCTGCAGGTGGAGGACTGTTGTTCCCCCAGTAGGGCTAGCCCTGTTAAATAAGCTGTGATGACATGCCAGCAGGTGGGAGGTGGAGAAACTTGATGAGGTTAAAGAAATCCAGGAAGCTTCCTCACACAGCTCTTGAAAGCGCAACAAATTCTCACTTTCAGTGATGCAGGAAGATGTGCCTCAGGGTAACACAGCACTGGACTGATCCCTGCGCTTGAGGATGAGTATGAATTCTAATGTTGGTGTTGGGTGGTGTTGCTTTCAGATCACGTAAACCCACAACTTTTTATACTTTTTCTTGATACCCATGTGTCTCATCAGGAACACCACAAATATAATCTGGTACAGAAGTTCTTCCAGATGGGAAACAGATACGTGATGTACCCCTCTAATTATAGTATTTCTGTCCACACAGAGAAGAATGGTTTGTCATTTATTGAGACGTCTGCTTTAGACTCTACAAATGTGGAAGCAGCTTTCCAGACTATTCTGACAGGTGAGTCATCTAGTGCTTTGTGTTTCGAGGGGGAAGGGCAGAAGGCTGCTCAGATATGATGCAAATAGGCATTTCTTTGCCTATAAAGTGTTTAAAATTTTGCTGTTTAATCATTCTGCACAGCCATAAGATTTGGAGTCCAGTTTCGAAGCGTCACAGTTGAAAGGCCGGTCTTGGACTTAGGAATGAATCCTTGTTCACTTTGATCTGCCCCAGGTTTCTAGTCAGCCTAGTTTATGTTTCAGTTTCCCATTTGTGTATGGCATAGGGAATGCCCACAGGAGAGAATTGTCTCATGCAAGCATCAAGTTAAAACAGGCATTGTTTATCAGAGGAGAAGTCAATCTAGTTTGTTTCCATTTTTACTGGTGACCATAACAGTTGCCAAGGCAAAAGGGATGAAAGAGTAGAGATCCTTCCTTTGAACAATACTGGTAGTCTGAGACGTAGTGACTCCTGAGCTGCAGGGTAGTCGCTGTCATTGCATTTAATAGCCCTGGCTGGACTTTTGGCTCTGCAACATGTGATGGCAGTGAGTGCTGCATTTTTTACGCTCTGTGGATAAAGTACTTCCTTTTTGTTTAAACTCTTTTTTAGATAGGCAAAACTTGTTAAGAGTCTGAGACATTCAACTACAACTACATGGGGGACCTTAACCATGGCTTATAAAGGATAGGGTAGGAATTCACAGGTCAGTGTGGAAATCACTAGCTGTCATGGGACTTTTGTATTGCTGTGTACCCCATCAGCTGTAGCCAGGGCACAGTGCAGCAATGGTGGCGTGTGTGGTTTTTGAGCTTTTGCCATTCCCAGCTGTGGCAAATGCCTCTCCAAATGTCTAGTCTGGGTCTTCAAAACAGCTGAGACTCTCCTCTGTTGTGGTATGTGTCTCTGTTCAGGTGCACCAGGGAGTGTCTCTGTTTTCTCCAAGTGCCTCCTACATGTTTCCCAGTTGCAAGTTTAAACTCCCTCCATCTCAATGTAGCATGTGCTAGGCTACATGATCTGCTTGGCATGAGCAGCGGCCCCACTTCTAAACTATGTGTCTCTATTAATCAGATCTCATTGCTGTGACATTAGCACCTCATTAGTTTTGAATTTTTTTTTTTCTTTGCCAGCTAATTTAGACATTCTTTTAAAAACACACCAAAAAGGACCTGTTGGCCATACTGGAACATGCAGATGAGGAGGCAGCTAGGAAGTTATTTACTGTAATAAAAGTATAAATCCTGTAGCATTTTCTTGAGTTGTTTGAAATGCTTTATGAACACCCTAGCAGTGGAGAGAGTTGTTAGGCTGCTGGAGTATTACCTGCCTGTGTCCATCTGTTTCTTGTCTTATCCTTAGTTGTAAGAGGCCTCTGATAGGTTCTGGTTCTGTTGTGTTTCTTACAGTGGGTTCCTAAGCAGTAGTGCTCCTGTCCATATACTAGCAAAAAAGTAAGTGTGTCTGTTAGATGAATCAACAGTGCATAGGGATGTTTGTCATCTTGCTGCTTCATGCGATGCTGGGACTAGAACTTGAGTTTGTTTCCTCTTCAGGGGAACCATGTGGTTCCCTTTTAACTTCAGTGTAGTCATTTGGTTGTAATTCAACCTTGCACAAATTTAAAAAAAAAAAAAAAGAGAGAAGTTGTGTTAGTTTATACATTTACTCCCTACATGACTGACTACTAATGCCATCAGAGGGTGGATGGCTAAGGAGTGGCTGAATGCGATGGTATCTGGTATGCCTGCTGGCTTTTTTCTTTTCTTCACCTACCTAAAGGCAGTCCTGTCAAAAATGCTCATGAATTTAGACATGGATTTTTCAGGAGAAAGGCATTTTTATTTCCAGTTAATTAACTTTCATACTCGTTCAGCACTAGCACTAATAAAACAGAACTGGAAATATGTCAGACATTGTTTATCCCCTCCCAAGGTGGCTGTCAGGCTGTCATGGCCGATATAAACTGGTCACCTAATTGCCCCCATCTCCCGTTGGACCGTTCTGTTCTCTAACAGTGATGGCTGAAGAGGTAGAAAGTTTCCTGCATGCCCTGGGCTGCTGCCTTACTTCATGGAGCTGTGTGACAGACAATATACTGCCATTGCCACGGGGAAGCAGTTCACCTCTTGGGCACAGGCTGGGCCGTTTCTTTATCTCTCCTCGCATGCTTCCAACCTTTTTATTCCAGAAGTTATTTTGGATTCTAATTTGTGGAGGTTTGATTTTTTTCTAGTTTAATTTTTCTGTGAAGGAGAGCAGTCTGTAATGGGAGAATGAGTGATTAAAACTTGCCCTCGGTGGACTCTGACAGATTGTTGAGGCTGTTGCTTTTCCACAAATGTCAATGTTCCCTGCATGTTGCTCTGACAGTGTTTTCAGTAAAGAGCTCTTGGGTATGCTGACAGGATCTTTGTTCAGGAGGGGCTGGTTCAACTGTACTGGAAGAAACACTTTTGCTGATTAGTGGGCATGTGGCTTGCTCCAGACAGGAGCTCCTGTTTCAGGGAGATAAAGATGAAGTAAATAATGCATTAGCAGCAGGTTGGCTCCATCTCAGCTGTGACTGGCATGCAAAGGACAAATGTTCTGCCAATGAACTTCTTGATAACACTTCACAGCTGGCTTTTTCTGTTAATGATTTGCTTTGAAGGAAAGAGGGGAGCAGTCATCTGGGGAATGTGGTTTTCAGAGTGACCCTGCAGAATCATGCATGTATTTGGCAAGGCTGCCTCCAAGCATAGTGCCTGCGGGTGGAATGCTCATTGTCCTTTGAAGGATGTTGGTAAAGCCAACAGGCTTTGCCACAGGCTGCGAGTGGAGGTGGCTGACAGAAGAAGGGGCAGGGTATGCTGCTGCACTAGCTCTGCTAGTATTTGCAGTGCTGGGAACTGCACTGCAGACACATCCCAGGCGGCTCCCGATACCTTTCACAGAGCTGCTTAGATCTCTCCTGAACAGGGTGTTGCGACTAAGGTCTGTAGCAAAACTCCTTTCTTCCCCAGCCCTACTGAAGCTGGTCTGGTTGGGACAGTGATGGAACCTTGTAAGAGTACTTCCCTTGGAGGTGTAGCAGGGTCCGTGTTAAACTTCTCCACACCTAGATTCTCAGATTAAGCTACTTCGAATAGATGGCTTTGGGCATGGGAAACATGAATCCGTTATAGTTAGCACAGCCTAAGTGAGTATATGATCTGCTGTTGTTACAAGTGGAAGAAGGGGGAGAAAGCTTTGCCTTCCTCTCCCTGTATTATAGAGGACTTTTAGAGGTGGGTATATCTTACATCTAGTGGGCTTCCTGTGGATACCAGATGAGGTTTTGGGGACCTTTTCCTTCTGTGGCTTAGAGTAATGGTCCCTGTCCAAATTCTTCTGTTGCAAGATGTCTAGACTTCAAGGGCTGATTGTTGTGCACACAAAGCTGCTTTGTATCTCTGGCAAATAGGAGAGACTGGTATTATAATCCTGTCCACTCTGAGCATTCACAGCAGGGTAAAGCATCCTTAAAGTAAGCTGGAGTCTGCCTCCATTCCCTGCCCGGCTCTGTGCCGTCTCTGTTCCTGTACTGCATTCTGCTGCGGTTTCATCTCTAAGGAATCCCATCTCCAAGGAAACAACATCACAGAGCATTAACGTCAAAAATTCTAGGGATTTCTTCTTTTGTTAGCTCTGTACACCTGAAAATGAATGAAACACTAGTGCAGGCTGAGCAGACAAGGACCAGACAAGCTCCTCCTAGGCAGCAGTGTCACTTTTTCCCAGCCCTCTTACAGTGCAAGGCCTGTCTCGCACAGTTACCAATTATGCAGTGGTGCATTCTGCTGAATGTGCTCTTAATAAGGTCTCATTCAGTTACTGAGCAGAGCATAAAGCGTAGTGTCTTCATTAAAAAGCCAATGTGTTCATTAGCCTGGCATTCCTCGGTGCAGACTAGTTCCAGTGTAGGCTTTGCCGCTGGGTGTTTTGCCCTGGTGAGAGCAGGTTTAAGCTGTTCCCACCTCCCCTTTCACAGCAGTA